AAAGAGTTAAATGAGAAATCCTGAATCTCTTGATTGCGTGCTTAATGAGGAAACGCACGTGAGATTACCGCGGTCTTTTGTCATGCGAGAAGCAGGAAAAGTCTCAGTATGAGCGCGGTTTAATCTCATTGCTATGCGTTCACGCTGACACGAGCTGCGTTTTTCCAGCTACCACAGGCGGAGAAGATGACATCCAGACGAGCACAGCTGATTTGTTTTCTTTCTTTTATTTCAGATGGTACATTATCATGGATCACAGAAACAGTGAAATCTCGTTGTTTTTTTTTAACACCTGATAGGAAACAGGGCACACAAACAGAAGATGAGCAGAGGGAAAGATCCGGCACAGTTAAACAGGTCAGAAAAAAAGTGACCCAGAGGGCGGTTGAAGAGGTCGAAGTTGCGGAGGAGGTTTATTAAAGGCAAGTCCAACATGGCACAGAGAGACATGCTCGAACCACAGCACACTCCACATGTCCACTCAACCAGTCACCGATGGCAAGGATTTCAAGTATAATGACTATTTAAAACTTAATCTTGTGTGCTATTTAAGTGTTTTGCCACTTCAGCTCCTTAATGAAATGTCACATGAAGCGTTGAGCATGACTGAGCATGTGCGGCAATAAGGGAGACGGGATTGGCTACATGACTCTGGGTTATGATGGACATAATCATCATTCAGCACCAACGCTGAAGCGAATCAAGTCCTGAAAGATTCTGTACATGCTTCTGCGCTGGAATTGGGAGTTAAACACTGTAAATGTCCTCAGTTGTGGTGACGTTACACTTCCAGTCACTTCCATTGAAGCTTAGTACACATCAATAATACATGTTTTTCCTCTCTGTTGTCGAATTCAGTTCACACCAGCTGTTTCTATCTTAACAATCCTGAATTAGGTGCGTTTCTAACAAGTTATTAGAGAGGTTGACTGTAGGATTGGTAACTTAGTAACCAATAGTAAACAAGGCAAGAGTTTATTCGGTATGTGTTTTCTTCCTACATTATTCACATTAACCCTTTTTTCACACCTCCAAAACCACCTTAAGTGAACGTATAAACTTGTTTTTTGTTTTGTTTTTTCTAAATGTGTCATTTCCATCAGTCGTTTCTCATATGACATTTAAAAATACGCATAAACACAGGCTGATGGAAACCTCGATATTAAGACAGCGCTGTAAAGCTTTTCAAAATGCATGCGTTCAAAACCTCTGATGTATTTTTTCGTCATGTAATGCAGTCATGGTGTCACATTTAGCCCGTCTGTTCATACTTCAGATTGCATTTCTTCAACAGAGTTTACTCGCAGTCTTTATGTTCTGGAACATTTTACTCAGTGCACAGTCCAGGGACACAAACGTTTTGAGAAGTTTCAGTGTGGATGAAAAACTTATGGGAATTGTTTGAAACAGTGGACATAAGGCTTTTTTTTTTTTTAAACTTACACACTATTTTCAAACCTAGGTTTGTGTGAATGAGACGTAAGATTTGTAGCTGTTTTTGCATTTTAATAAGTCTCTGGCTCTGTCTGATAACTCTTCTCAAGAGTTCACACTTAGCTGATGATTGATAGTAAAGCTAGTTTGGCGTGCTGTCCCGGGAGAGAGCCCTGAGCTTATAAGATCCTCGAGCCCTGGGCTCCCTCCCGTTGCAAGGCGAGAGGGGAGTTTGAGCTCAGGTAGATCTCGATGACTCCCCTTCTTGCTTGTTATAGCTGAGTGGCAGATATGTATACTGAAGGTGTACTCAGAGGTTAGCTAATGTATTTTGATTAATTATTTAGAGTGCTTGTTTTTGAACTGTGGGAGGAAACCGGAGGACCCGGGGAAAACCCACACGACCACTGGGAGAACGAGCAAACTCAGCACAGAAATGCCGTCTGGTGTGGAAAGGAATTAAACCAGGGGCATTCTAGCTGTGAGGCAACAGCACTAATCGCTGGCCACTGTGACGCCCGTTTGAAAGGAGGGAAAGTAGGGTTGGGTGTGGGGGTTTCTTCGAGACGAAGATATTGAGATGAGAAAAGTCTGGTTATTTATAGCGAGTTAAGGATCGTCTGATAGGATAATCAGTCATTAGCTAAAGTTGGAACAGCTGCGAACAATCATAAGCACGTGATCCTCTCGAAATTTGTTTATGAATAAACTTCACTTAAACGTATGTAAATAGACATTCTTATTTTGGTTTAGGTTTTTGGCATATTATTTAGACTAGATGATTTACTGTCTCAGTCTGATCTCACAAGGAAATGCAACTATTTTACGTTTTGTCAGTTTAGTGGCTAATTCGTACAAATTTGTATGACTAAAATGTACGATTTTAAAAAAGGAGGCGTGGCACCCAACCTTCCCCCTAAACCCAATTGTCATCGGGAATGAGCAAATCGTACTAAATTGCATGAATAAATTCATACGTATTAGCCACTAATTAAAAAAATTACGAATTGCCGTGAGATTGTGTTGACTGTCTGTTCAGAAGAGTGAAGTGGTGATTTGTCGCGACTGAAGCCCCGTTCTGTATTTCTGATGAGCTCAAAGTCCCACTGACCTGTAAAACAAATAGATTTGCTATGACCACTTTGTCGCCTACGTTATATAGCTTTCTCCATTTGCATATTTATTTGTTCATTCATTCATTTTCTTGTCGGCTTAGTCTCTTTATTAACCTGGGATTGCCAAAGCGGAATGTACCGCCAACTTACCCAGCATATATTTTACACAGCGGATGCCCTTCCAGCCACAACCCATCACTGGGAAACATCCACACACACTTATTCACACACACACACACTACAGGCAATTTAGCCTACCCAATTCACCTGTACCACGTTTTTTTTACTTGTGGGGGAAACGAAGTTGGGGAGAACATGCAAACTCCACACAGAAATGCCAACTGACCCAGTCGAGGCTCCAACCAATGAATGTCTTGCTGTGAGGTGAATGTGCTACCCACTGTGCCACCGTGCAGCCATATTTATTTGTATAAGCCTCAAAATAGATGGGCGGGTAGCAACCATTTTCAATGGAATTTAGCTAAAGCCTTGTTAAAAATTAGCTAGATGATGTTACTGATATTATCCCATCCTGTTTACCTGTGTTATCTTGGCACTTTGTGACTGTTACTTTCTACATATCCAGATTAGCGACTAAATCCCAATTCAGAAGAAGCACAAGTCACCTAATACGAAATTCTGTATTGTTGGTAAACACTTTTCTCTGTAATGTCAATAACAATTTAACATTATAAAATGATTTTTAGATCTTAAAGCAACACTATGCAACTTTCTTTTGTGACTCCCCCTTGTGGTTGATAATTACAAGTGCCTGTTGCCAAAGAAGCAGTGTTCTGCTCATATATATATATATATATATATATATATATGGGTGGGGGGGAGCGGATTGATAGCAGGCCAGTTTGATCGTCAGGTCACAGAGAAATGGCCCGGTACTCTGGATAGCCAGTGTGCCCCTCTTATAAATGAGTGGTTGTGTGTACCAGGTAGTTCACCCAAAATTTCAGTCAATAGTAGGCAGATCTGGTAGCCACAGCAGCAGAATTTATCTAGGTAAAAGTTATTCTAGGATATAATTTCACTCTGTAATGATAATCTCAGGTGTCACAGTGGATAGCACGATCGCTTAACATCAAGAAAGTTGCTGGTTCGAGCCTCAGGTGGGTCAGTTGGCATTTTTGTGAGGAGTTTGCATGTTCTTCCCGTGTTCGCGTGGGTTTCCTCCGGGTGCTCCGGTTTCCCTCACAAGTCCAAAGACATGCGGTACAGGTGAATTGGGCAAGCTTAAAATTGTCCGTAGTGTATGTGTGTGAACCAGAATGTATGGTGTTTCCCAGTGACAGCTGAAAGGGCATCAGCTGCGTAAAACATATGCTGAATGAATGATTAAATAATATTCTCACTATTATTCTTATATGTAATAATATGTAATATTATTACATATTCTCAAAAAAAAAATTTCTGTCTTGTAGCCAAACATTGGATCACATATGGACAAATTCAAAAAAATGTGTTCTTCATATTTTGTTAAAATTTTTCCATATTTGACCCCCACATTGTGATAAAAAAAACTACTGTGAACCTACTAGCTCAAATTATTAATAATAATCTGAATAAATTATTCCCCCATGTTTATCAGTCTGATTAAACTAATAAACCTTTAAATTTTGAGTTCGTAGAAAGACATTTGCGCACAAATGAATTATTAATTCATTCATTTTCTTTTCGGCTTAGTCCCTTTATTAATCCGGGGTCGGCAGAATGAACCACCAACTTATCCAGCACGTTTTAAGCAGGGGTTGCCCTTCCAGCCACAACCCATCTCTGGGAAACATCCATATAACTCACTCACAATCTTACACTATGGAAAATTTAGCCTACCTAATTCATCTATATCGCATGTCTTTGGACTGTGGGGGAAACCGGAGCACCTGGAGGAAACCCACGCAAACGCAGGGAGAACATGCAAACTCCACACAGAAACGCCAACTGACCCAGCTGAGCCTCGAACCAGCAGCGTTCTAGCTGTGAGGCGACAGTGCTACCTACTGGGCCACTGCGTCGCCCATAAATTAATTATTTCAAAGAATTTAGCAGATTCCTCGTCAATATTTCAAAAACAATGATTAATATCTGTTGGCTGACAAGAAAAAAAAACTCTCATTAGCTCTCTTTGTAAATCCTAATTGAATTCTCAAGCATACATTTTGGAGGTGGGACTACATACGCCAATCAATGTAGAGTGTTTGTACAACCGATTTGAATGCACCAATTACAACAAGCGACATTAGCGGAATGGAAATTGAGCGATAATAACCAAACGTGTAGATCTTTGCAATCCTTCAGTCGGCAAGAGTGCTCAGTGTTGATAGTTTCACTCAAATTAACTGCGGAACAAGACAAAAGAAAATCCGTCAAGTCATTATTAAAAGTGAGAGAGGAAATAAAAAAACATAAGTGCACTCCATAAAAGAAGATTAAATACTGACACTATTTTGGGCATCTTCATTAGAAAAACATTAGCGGTGGTGATTATTTTCGTGCAACCGATGATGCATTGTAGGGTGGCAAACAGTGGCTCACAGTCCAGTGGGCTCACAATGAAAAGAGAGAGAGAGAATCAACATCAGTACAAGTGAAATGAGTTTCAGTACGGGTGCCTGCAGCCGCCAAATAAATCAGTGTCCGCATACAATAATAATAAAGCTATGAGCCTACAGGGTCTCTCTCTCTTTCTCTCTCTCTCTCTCATGCAATCTTCCAGCTCTTCTCTCTTTCTCTCTCCATCATGCTCGCAGCTCTCGCCGGGGTGCTTTTTTTTTCCCCTAACCCACACTCTCGCTCTCTCTCTCTCCAGCACTTTCTCCATCCCTTTATCCCTTATTGTGTGTTTATCTCTTTTCCTGTCCCTTGCTCCCTGCAATCTAGCGCTCGGCGCGGAGGATTCGCTGTGGCAGGTTTTCTCTGTGTACACAGACGCAGATGGGCGAGGGGGAAATGTTAGACTCGTATTAAGCAAATCTGTATACGGGCCAAGTCGTGGTTGTAATGCGGCGCACGCAAGCAAACAACCAATATTGTTATGGTTAATTTAGTGTGGGTTCTTCAGATCTTGTTGCTAAGCCTGCTTAACCAGGGCTGGTTAACCACAGAGATTGACCTGACCTGTTATCGATTCCAAGAGAGTTTGAAGTTACAGCATGATACACCAGTAAACAGAATACATAGTGCACTGCAAGAAAATATTTCAGACATGTTTACTACTGAAGATATCTTCAAATAAAAAGTGTAGTGTCCTTTTATATTTTAACTCCCTACATACAGTAGAGTTGCTCATTTTGACATATTTTTACTAATAAACATAAAAAAATAACTAATTAAGGATAATTTTAAATTGTTTTTATTTACGTATTATCCACATAAATTAATTACTGTAGCATTTGTTTCTTGACTTCTTTGAATTTAAAATAGCTTGCAATCCTCACAGAAAAAAAATACTCCTGAGCGAATATTAGCAAACAAACATTATTGTTATGGTCAATTTAGTGTGGGTGTTTCAGATCTTGTTTCGAGCGCGTAGCTAAGCTAGCTTAACCAGGGCTGGTTAACCACAGAGACTGACTAACGCCAAATCTTGCCCTGGATTCTAAGAGAGTTAGCATGCTACGCCGCTAACAGTGTGGGACGTCAATAAACAGAATAGGCAGTGCACTGCAAGAAATTATTTTGGACATGTTTACTACTGAAAATATCTTCAAATAAGAAGTGTTTTATCATATTATATTTAAATTGCCAAGTAGAGATGCTCATTTTTACATATTTTACAAATAAACATTAAAAACCACTAATTAAAGATCATTTTCAATCATTTTTATCCACGTATTATTCACATTAATTAAGTAATACTCATTTCTTGACTTGTTTTTTATTTAAAATTGATTGCAATCCTTACAGAAAAAATTACTCCTGAGCGAATATTAGCAAACAACCATTTTTGTTATGGTCAATTTAGTGTGGGTGTTTCAGATCTTGTTTCGAGCGCGTAGCTAAGCTTGCTTAACCACGGCTGGTTAACCACAGAGACTGACTAACGCCAAATCTTGCCCCGGCCTGGTATGGATTCTAAGAGAGTTTGAAGTTAGCATGCTACACCGCTAACAGTGGGGGACGCCAATAAACAGAATACGCAGTGCGCTGCAAGAAAGTATTTTGGACATATTTACTACTGAAAATATCTTCAAATAAGAAGTGTTTTATCATATTATATTTTAATTCCCAAGAAGAGATGCTCATTTTTACATATTTTACAAATAAAAAGTAAAAATGACTAATTAAAGATCATTTTCAATCATTTTTATCCACGTATTATTCACATTAATTAAGTAATACTCATTTCTTGACTTGTTTTTTATTTAAAATTGATTGCAATCCTTACAGAAAAAATTACTCCTGAGCAAATATTAGCAAACAACCATTTTTGTTATGGTCAATTTAGTGTGGGTGTTACAGATCTTGTTTCAAACGCGTCGCTAAGCTTGCTTAACCAGGGCTGGTTAACCACAGACACTGACTAACACCAAATCTTGACCTGGCCTGGTATGGATTCTAAGAGAGTTTGAAGTTAGCATGCTACGCCGCTAACAGTGTGGGACGCCAATAAACAGAATACATAGTGCACTGCAAGAAAGTATTTCAGACATGTCTACTACTGACAATTTTTTATTATCCACATTGGTATTATAGTATTACCCACATTAATTAAGTAGGCTAACCGCAGTTTCTTGGCTTGTTTTTCCATTTACAAAAGCTTGCAATCCTTACAGATAAACCTACTCCTGAGCAAATATTAGCAAACAACTATTGTTATGCTTAATCTAGTGTGTGTTCTTCAGATTTTGTTGCTAAGCTTGCTTAACCAGGGCTGGTTAACCACAGACTAACGTTAAATCTTGACCTGACCTGGTATAGATTCTAAGAGAGTTTGAAGTTAGCATGCTACGTCACTAACAGCATAGTACGCCAATAAACAGAATACATAGTGCACTGCAAGATAGTATTTCGGACATGTCTACTACTGAAAATATCTTAAATTTTATTCGAAGACTGTTTGGTAACACTAACTCAAGTATTAAAGTATTAAACACTGGCTAATTATTAACGATTTTTGTATATTACACAGTATTTAACTGCAATATGAACTGTGTTTTACTGTAGAACAGTTACAGTATGCAGTATGGTACTGTATTTTAAAGTTGCATTGTGAAAATTACTGTATATTTTACTGTAAAGATTTACAATACTGTAGGATAGAGCACGAGAAATGGTGCTGTATATGTACAGTAAATACAGTGTTTTTGCTGTAAATGATTTACAGTACAGCTGCTGTAGATTCTACAGGAAATTTGCTAACAGTGTATTTAAATATGAACTGTTTGTTAGTAGTTCTAAAGTATGATGTCTTACCTTTCTAATCCTAAGCTGTAAAGAAATCGATGACAAAAAGTCATAAATTTTTTTTAATTACTTTTAACTTATTTAGTTGAAACCTGATTCACTGATTAAAATTAGTTTTAATCCGTTTGACTGATGCTCAGTTGAGGAGACAAGAAAAGTTCATTTGATACAACTAAAGAATTTTAGGTGGTTTTTACAGTGTAATCCAGGGGTGTCAAAACTTGGCCTTGGAGGGCCGGTGTCCTGCAGATTTTAGCTCCAACTTGCCTCAACACACTTGCAAGGATGTTTCTAGAAAGCCTAGTAAGAGCTTGAGCTAGCCCATGTGTGTCTGATTGGGGTTGGAACTAAACTTTGCAGGACACCAGCCATCCAGGACCGAGTTTGAACATGCCCGGTGTAACCAATACCTAAACCCAACTGCTTATTATTAATAAGCAGCTAATTAGTACTTTATTGAGATAATGTGCGTTAATAGTGTTAATTGTTCATTGTAAATTGTAACATGTTAGGACTATAAATTTTGTCCAACTTACTTTACAAGCCGAAATATGCTCAGTTTATATTTTAATATATTTAATTTATTTTAATATCTTATGCTGTTTTTTTAAGTGTTTTAAATTTAAGAATTTTGACAATTTTTTGACTGGAAAACAAGCAATAAATCATTGAAAAGTCATATTTTACATTTCTGTGTGTGATTTGAATGTTTTTGAGTTGAAATATTAAAAAAGTACTTTAAAAAGTACTTAAAACAGGAAAGCGAAAAAAGTAGTGTGGTGTTTTATTATTTATTATTATTATTTTAAAAACGAATTTTTCTACATTTTAATTCCCTATATAGAGTTGCTCAGATAAATAGAAGTGATTTTATTATATTATATATTTATATTATATTATATTATATTATATTATATTATATTATATTATAGAAGTGATTTTTCATATTTTTACTAATAAACATAAAAATATACTAATTAAAAACTAATTTATAACTTTTTTTTACATTTTATCCACAATAATTCAGTAAAATGAAGTAAAAGACTTATTTTTTAGATGAAATAGCTTGCAATTCTTAAAAATAAAATTGAAAACAACATTAGGTTTTTAATACCTTTAATACTTGTAGCAAAAAAGTGATGCCATTTTAATACCGTCTTGCTCAAATAAATCCGCCTTGATTTACGATTATTTATTTCGATAGATTTTTAGATTATTTAAATATTTTTATCGATTAACAAGTCAAATAGACTAATTAGAAGCATTTTTATAGCATAAATGCTCATCAAATGATTGAAAAACATGTTGAAAAAAAAAACTTTTATTTTCCAATAAATCCAATATTCATATTTTTTTTATTTTTGCTCAAGCTTTACTATCTTATCTGGTGTTTCTAGCGCAATCTGAACTTTGAACGAATCTGAAGGCTTTTAAACAATTTTACTGATAAACAAGTGGAAAAAAAAGCCTAATTAAAAACTAATTAAGCAGTCTTTTTTTTTTTTTTTTGAGTGTATGGAAAATAATTAGCCATTCAATCACATACTCATTTGTAAAATTATATCACTTCTTTCCAGTATTTAATCAGCTTTGTTTATCGTCACCCGCATTCCATTGCAGCGTATATTAAAACAAGCACTTAAAAGTGAGACTCTCTATGGTTGAGGACAACGTTGACACTTTTCTCCTCTCTATCTGTATCTGTCCCTCCCCAAACTTTTTCCTCTAGTGCGCATTTATTTAACGCATGGTTTATTTGTTTATTTATTTATTTCTGAAATATTGTAATGTGAATCGGTGACAACCCACGGCTTCGCTCTCCTCCTCCGGTGTCACTCATCCTCTGCCTCCCTCTCAGTTATGGCTGGGCGGACGACACTGGCCCCAGATAACAATTAAAAAATAACAACAGCCATCATAAAGGCTGCCCGCTATTTGGACAGGCACATCAATCCAGAGGCGCTCTGGTTTCTTCTCTTAATTAACCCTGCTGATTGAACGGGCCTCGCTGACCTTGAGAAAAAATAATAAAACGTTGAGGAGCGCGACGTCTGTTCAATCTCGTGTTCCTCCGCATAATACATCAGTTCGGCGACTGGTTGTTGAAGTGGTGTCGGCGTAATCGAAGGTGCTTCTTGAGAATGCCGGATGAGATATGTACACTTTAGCTGAGCTTTAATTTCATCCTGAGAGAAGAATGAGGAGAGCGAATGTGTCTGGTTGCCAGACGCTCAAAAAACAAAAAGCTGGATGAAAGTGGATTAATGCTGCGGCAGATTATGTGCAATTGAGTCTCTTTTGGGGTTTTGTGTCATGGTTTTAACAGAGATATTGTGCAAAACAACTGGTTTTAACACTGAAAATTATGAGTCAAACTATTAGAGTGGCTGACTGTAGGATTGGTAACCTAGTAACCAGCAATAAACAATCATAATAGAGAGAGCTGATTGGTCGGATGTGATATGAACACTTTAGCTGAGATTAAGTTTCATCCTGGGAGAAAGGAGGAGGAGAATGAGAAGAGTGAATGTGTCCGGTTGCCAGACACTCTAAGAACAAACATCTGGATGGAAGTGGATTAATGCTGCGGCAGAATGTGTACATTCAACTAAAGTTTAAAGAGTCCTTTTTGGGGTTTTGCGTCATGGTTTTAACAGAGATATTGTGCAAAACAACAGATTTTAACACTGAAAATTATCATTCTAACTATTAGAGTGGCTGACTGTAGTATTGGTAACCTAGTAACCAGCAGTGAACAAACATAATGGAGACAGCTGATTGGTCACGTGGGATTAATGGTAAATGCAGGATTAGATATAAACATGTAAGCTGAGCTTTAATTTCATTCTGAGCGGAGAATGAGGAGAGCAAATGTGTCCTGTTGCCAGACGCTTAAAAAACAAAAAGCTGGACGTAAGTGGATAAATGCTTGGGCAGATTATTATTATTATTATAGATTTAATTCAAACTATTAAAGTGGCTGACTTTAGTATTGGTAACTTAGCAGTAAACAATCATAATAGAGAGAGCTGATTGATTACGTGAAAATTATTTTAAATGCCAGATGTGATATGAACACTATAGCTGAGCTTTAATTTCATCCTGAGAGAAGAATGAGGAGAGTGAATGTGTCCGGTTGCCAGACACTCTAAAAATAAACATCTGAAAGGAAGTGGATTAATGCTGCAGCAGAATTTGCGCAATTCACAAAAGTTTGAAGAGTCTCTTTCGGGGTTTTTATGTCTTGGTTTTATCAGAGATATTGTGCAAAACAACTGATTTTAACACTGAAAATTATAAGTCAAACTATTAGAATGGCTGACTGTAGTATTGGTAACCTAGTAACCAGCAGTAAACAAACATAATAGAGAGAGCTGATTGGTTGCGTGGGATTAATGTTTAATGCCGGATGAGATATAAACATTTTAGCTGAGCTTTAATTTAATCCTGAGAGGAGAATGAGGAGAGCGAATGTGTCCGGTTGCCAGACACTCTAAAAACAAACATCTAGAGGGAAGTTGATAAATGCTGAGACAGAATATGTGCAACTAACTAAGGTTTGGAGAGTGTATTTGGGGGTTTTGTGTCATGGTTTAACAGAAATATTGTGCAAAACAACTGATTTCAACACTGAAAAGTATAAGTCAAGTTGTTAGTCAAGAACCCAGCAGTAAACAAGCCTAATAGAGACAGCTAATTGATCACATGGGTGAATGTTTGGTACAATTTATTTGGCAAATGCATTTCCATTTCTAATTATTCACATTAAACCTTATTCGCTTAAGTCTAAAACCAACTTATTTGCGCATTTAGAGACTTTTATTTAAAATGTGGTGTTTCCATCCCTCGTTTCTCATGCGATACTTTAAAATGGCTGATGGAAACCTATTAACATTCATGTGCATGAGCAGAAGTAACAAGTTGCTAATGTCCCTATTAACAAGATTTTTAGAATTATACAAAAAAAAACTAGCATCTTATCTAAAGGATGGCTTTTTTGAACTTTAGCTGTTTTTAAATGTGCAAATTTTAATCTAAATTAAAAAAAGGAATCTCTAGTTTGGTTATTTACACGTCAATATTTTTCTCTGTAACAGTTCGAATTATCCTCTAGCGCTAACTTGCTCACAGTCCATAGGGAACGTGAAGGGACCGAATGTTGTATTTATACTGCACACCTACTGAACACACTCCATTACCGCTTGAGAAGTAAGTTCTTGATCGAATTCTCTACAAGTGCACCCTCTTTCTCCCTCACACACACTTCCACGGACATCAACGAGAGCGAATGAAAGAAACGAGATTGAGAAAAAAAGCATCTGTGTCAGCAAAAGATTTATAAGAAACAGAAAAAAAGGATGTGATTCTAGACTGTATGTTTGTTTTTTTCTTAGCTGGAGGGTTTGAGTCTCTCCTCCTCGTCTCCGTCTGTTCTTTGCCTTGATCTCTCTCTCTCTTCTTTTTTTTCGATTTCGTTCCCATCACGAGTAATTCGTCTCCGTGAACACACAACAAGATAAACAGTTTGTGTTGTAAGCCATTATCTCTGTGAAAGTAAAACAACAGGCACAGGGAGAGGTGCGAGGCGACAGGCGGTTTGGAAAATGACTTCCCGTTTCTTCCCCTCGGGTTCTAAACCCAGACCGGACTCCGACACCTGCTGTGTGGCGAGATATTTATTTATTTAGTGTGTTTATTTCTTTATTTTGGGCTTTATTACTCATGTTTTTTTCTCTGTTCGCGGACGTGTTTTTTTATTTATGCCCCTGGTTAGAGTGCACAGTCTGTGCTGAGTCAAAAAAAATGAAAGCACATCGCAGATAGAGCAATAAATGAAAAGAGCTTGCATCTGCGCGATCGGCTCCGCAGCAGGCCAGAGGAGTGTGTGTGTATGTGTGTTTGTGATTAGGTGTGCGGCCTGACTCGTGAAACACGGAGGCATGATAAACGAAACATTCGGCAATCATGCTCGACGTGTTTTGTTTTCGTTTTTTTTTCTCCAGCGAATCACGTACTTACAAACACACTCGTTTCATACACAACAACATGATCAGCGACAATAAACACGGCGGGTTTTCTGAACGCGGGAAAAAATGCAGTGTTTTCCCACACTTTTCTGAAGCACACACAGACGTTATATAAGAGATACATGGGTCATTCGGTTACCGTCGGCTTTGAGTCAGTCCGAGGAGTCGCGAATCTTCTGAGTGATTCAAAGGATTCAGGTGAGAAGCTCCGTTCAGAAAGCGATTCCCTAATGATGGACAAGCAGCTATAACTATAGCACACCCTCTTCCCAGGAGAAAAAGAAATGAATGAATGAAAGAGGGAGAGAAGAACGGTTGTCCATTGGTTTTGTCGTTCTCGTCATCCCCTGATGATTGGTCTTGAGTCTGGATGTGAGCGAACGCTTCAGGAGGAAGTGTGTTTGCATGTGTGTGTGTGTCTGTGTATGTGTGTGATGGTTTTTTACACCCAGCGGAAGGTGATAAGCAGCAGAACGGCGAGTAGGACTTGAGGGACGCCGCAGGTGGAGGCTGAGCTTTGGACTCTTCCGGCTTCAGAGCCCAGGTTAGTGACTGTCGCCTTGTCTGAGAACGGAGGGATGACGTTGAAGCCTCCTCCACCGGCTTGGTTTTCTTCTTCCTCCTCCTCCTCTTCTTCTTGCTCTTCTTCTTCTACTTCTTCGCTTTCTTCGACCTTTAGGAAAAGAAAAGAGAGAAGATAAATTTGTATCTGCTTTGTTTGTCATGAAATAGGCAGCTTTTTTTGGCCTTGGTTCTAGAAGTGCTTTTTCCTTTGGGGAAGTCCTTGTGAAAGAGCCATGAACCAAACCAAGCAACTACAAGGTCAATCATATGAGTTCCATTGTTTCATTTTTGGGATGCTTCAATAAAAACAAAGACTGGATTGGTTTGCACTGTGTACATGCACTTAAAGTGTCCTTAATTAAGAGGCTGTTTACAAAACATGTTCAGCTAAAAACGGGAAACTTCTATGTGTGTTCCTTTGCTCTTTTTAAAGTTTGAGGTTTGTTTGTTTTCTGCAAAGCAATGCCACCACGATTGAATTATTGCAGAAATGACATCAATACAAAATACCAAAAAAGGTTGATAATAAATAAAGGTTGATACTTGATGATGTCCATTTGTGTTGTGTTTCTTGGACATTTTACAGAATCAAAACTAAGAACGGGCTGAGGATAGTGAGCTAAGTTAGCATAATATCGACAGCTCTCGCTTGTTTATTATTGCCTGTGACAGCGGTGATGTCATTTTTACAGTGGAGTGTCGCTTTTTGATTCGTACTCGTAATCAGGTCATCGTGTTAGTGGTGAATCTGCATTTTCCTGTTTGTAAAGTTCACCCACCATAAATTTATAAGACAATGAAAATGAAAAATAAATGCAGAATTACAAAAATAAACATATTTCTAAATCAAGTCATTCTTACACAACCAGCATCCCCACATTAAAGATCAAAATGATTCAAAAAATAGGTCCCACTTTATATTAAGTGTCCTTAACTACTATGTACTTACATCAAAAAATAAATACAATGTACTTACTGTGTTTATAATGTATTTGAGAACACCTGTGGTGCTTTTGAGTTGGGATAGAGGTTGGGTTATGGACAGGTTTGGTGGCATGGGTAGGTTTAAGGGTGGGTTAAGGTGTAAGGGATGGTCAACAGTGTATTTACAAATGTAATTACAAAAGTTAATTACAGATGTAATTACATACATGTATTTAATCAAGCATAAGTACACAGTAAATACATGTATTTACACAATAAGTACATTGTAGAAAACTTATTAATTCCTGTGTAAGTACATATTAGTTAAGGCCACTTAATATAAAGTGGGACCAAAAAATATATTTAAAAATATAAATATTCTGTGCGTAAATAAAATTCACTCATCTGTAATTATAAAAAACGTAAAGGACAACGGAACATCCTTGTGATTTTACGAGGGTACAAATCTGCAATTAGAACAGACACAGATGTGACATTTTCTTTTTCTGTGTGTATACGACTTATAAATTTATGTTGGGTGTACTTTACAAACACAAACACAGTTTCACCATGGACACGGTGACCTGATTATGAGAACAAATTAAAAAGCGTCACTCTACTGTCAAAACGACGTCACCGATGTCACAGGCAATAATAAACCAGCGAGAGCCATTGAACGCAACAGTGCGCTTACGTGATGAGATTCTGAATCCTGACTAAAGGAAGCCCACCGAGCAAAATGACTGGGCACTCGAGCTCCCACACACTTAAGGTTAAGGTGAGATTTAGGTGCAATAAATATATAGTGCTGTATGTGCAAGTAAAATACGTAACTGTAAATTAGGGTGCTACTTGAGGCTGATTTATACTTCTGCATCAAGCGCACACGTATGCTCCGGCGCAGCCTTCATGCGGTCGCATATCCCTCGCCGGGACTGACGCGCACCTCTTAAAAGATTTAACTACATGCTTCAGCAACGCATAGCGTAAGCTCTGTGAATGGTCACCTTGTTATCGCTTACGAGTGTGGGCGGGACACAGAGCCGTGTGAAACTGTTGGAGTCCCGTTTACAAGTGTCAAGTCCCGTGAAAGAGCTCCAGATGGAAAAGTTTTGTTTTGTGTTTACCTTATGATTAAAGTTGTTATACGTCTGCCAGTTTTTTGAGCCACTTGTACATTAGGTAGCAATCAGAAGAAGAAAAAAATACCCATGGAAAAACTCGACAGAGAGGAACATGAAAACCTCCCTGCCAGCTAGCATTTCAGGAGTGTTATTACAGAGCAACACAAACAGTGCGCAGAAGTATAAATGCACGGCAATGCACAAGGCATGTGACATGGGTCACATCGATCACTCAATGCAGAAGTATAAACCAGGCTTTAGCCTGAACATTGCTGGTAGCAATTCATTGTTAAATAGCATGTAAAGTTTGCAACATTAGATTTTCCATTCAACGTTGTGAATAATCTTAGGTCCAATCCCAGTTCTACCCCTTATCCCACATTTTGCACGTTCACTTGAAGGGGTAGCAGAGTCCAAATTTTCTTTAGCTTGAAGGCATAGGGCTAAGGGGAAGGGCTAGCTAGCCCTTGAAAATGAAATTTTCAAGGACCACACTAAACACGAAGGGCTATAAAAAATTCCTGGAATACACAAGCTACAACGACAACATGTCTGCGCACAGTAAGGAGATCCACAAATGTGTTGTAACGCCCCATTTACACGGGGCTTCAGCTGCAACGCTTCCCATTCACTTTGAATGGGTGTTGTCAGGCATCGCCAAACTGCACTGTGGATCTGTCTGCGCCGCTTCAGTGGCGTTGCTCGCTGCAGAAGTTTCTCAACTTTTCAAGGGCCAACAGACGTGTCAGCCAATCAGATCGTTTTATGCAAATACCCCAGCTCAGACAGAAGCCAATTGCGGACTAATTTTATTGGCTGACCCTGCTATGACAATCACGTCTGCCCCTACTTCAGACACGCCCTCTGTCAAGCGTTAACGCTGAACCCTCGTGTGAATGCACGGTAAGTATTTTTTGAAGAAAAACGAATTTTTACAACAAGCAAGCATATGTTTTAATACAGTCATAACGGTGTTCATGATTTACAGTCATGCTTTTAAAAGAACATTAAAAAAATAGCTACATCACATTTCGCCATTTTCGTTCATTATTTTTCCTTCAGCTTAGTTGCTTATTTATCAGGGTTCACCAACACGGAATGAACAGCGAACTATTCCAGCAAAATTTGCCCTTGCAGCCACAACCCAGTACTGGGAAACACCCATTCTCACATTCACACACACACTCATACACTATAGGCAATTTTTGTTTACCCAATTCACCTATGGCGCATGTCTTTGGACAGTGGGGGAAACCGGAGCACCCAAGTAAACCCATGCAAACACTGGAAGAACATGCAAATTCCACACAGAAATTCCAACTGGTCTAGCTGGGACTTGAACCATCGACCTTCTTGCTGTGAGGCAAAAATGCTAACCACTGAGCCACCATATCCCCATACAAAACCAAAATAAGAATAAAGCTTTATGAAAATCATCTGTGACCTTAGTCAAATGTGTTATGATACGAGAAATAAACAAATCACCTGGGAAAGCGTTTCAGAGAAGCAGGATGGTGTCAGGGTGAGGGACGGAGAGATTGTGAGCGAGAGGGATTAAGAAGGAACGATAAAAGAAGGAGAAAAAGAGAAAAGAGAGTTAGCGCGACAGACAGACAGATGGGTGCGAATACATTAATATTAATGAAGTTTGACTGATGCACCGCTGCTTGCAAACACCTTTAGCTAATCCGTTCAGAAGGAAAGCAAAAGAGAGAGAGAGAAAGTGAGAAGCACATCAAGAGAGACAGATCTGGAAAGACAGGGACATTTGGAGAGGAGAGATTTGCTGGAGAACACAAGTGTGAGAGAGAGAGAGTCTAGGAAAGAAATAAATGACGGCAGAAACTGAATTGAATCCTTTTTGTCTGCGGGCCCAGATTATCTCTAAGCTGAATGCTGTGGTCTGTGTGTTCAGAGAACAGAGGAAGTGAACGCGTTCCAAAGGGAGGACACACCAACACAAAAGACACACAGATCAGAGCAGCGTTTCTTGATAATGTCTGTACGCCTATGGACGCCAAGGGATTATTTGCTTCTCTTTTATGTGTGCTGCAAAATATACAATCATAGTCAAGTAAGCGTCGCTATCGTGGACGCTGTCGTTCCCTGAAGCGCTAAAAAAAACTGATCGACTATCAAGAAATTACTTCAGCTGGATATTATGCTACCGCTAATGCGCTAATGCTAATAACATGGCCAGGGGGGTCAGGGTTGAGCCGATTAGCTTTAGTGCTACACTATTATGCTGTCACAAAAGTTGCTTCTTCCTTGACAACCATTCGAACGTATAGCAGGCTTAATAACTTGTGGAATTAATGTAAAAAAAATTATATTACACAAGATGATTTGTTTGGATGGTGTCACTCCCTGAAGCTACAGGATAGCTTATTTGTCTATAAGGAAATTGACTATGATACATATTACAACTGGAATAGCTTGTCAACGGGGTCATGGTTTAATAGATGCTATAAACGCACTGGGGAAACAAACAATTATAAAAGTACACATTAATATTATTGGTTATAATCGGAGTTGGGTATAACATGTTCCACAGTAATGCATTACTGTATTCTAATTACATTTTTGGGGAATGCAGTGATGTAACAAATTACATTTTAAATATGTGTAATTTGATTACAGTTGTTAAAGTCAAGCATTTGCATTACAAATATAGTTTTAGAAGAAAAAAATGCTTCTTTTAAATCACATTTTACATTTACATTTACATTTTGTCATTTAGCAGATGCTTTTACCCAAAGCGACTTACAAATGAGGACAAGGAAGCAATTTACACAACTAAGAGCAACAATGAATAAGTGCTATAGGCAAGTTTCAGGTCTGTAAAGTCTAAGAAGGAAAGTATTAGTAGTATTAGTTTTTTTTTTTTTTTTTGGGGGGGGGGGTACAGTTTGATATTCAGAGAGGCAATTGCAGATTAGGAAGTGAAGTGGAGACTAAATAGTTGAGTTTTTAGTCGTTTCTTGAAAATAACGAGTGACTCTGCTGTTCTGATGCAGTTAGGGAGTTTATTCCACCAACTGGGCAGATTGAGCGTGAGCAA